ATGGACAAAACAAAGATCATGTTTAATGTCCATATCACACCTATGCCGGTAGTTGTTAGGAACACTAAGCTCGAAGTTGTTGACGAGTATGTTTACCTGGGACAAATAGTCCGACTAGGTAAGTCCAACTTCGACCGATAGTTCAATCGACGGATTCAACTCGGTTGGACAGCGTTCGCGAAACTACGACACATCTTCTCGTCAGACATTCCTCAAAACCTTAAAAAAATTGTACAACCAGTGCGTGTTTCCCGTGATGACTTACGGATCTGAGACGTGGTCTATCACTGCTGGCCGTATGAGGAAGCTCAAGGTCGCTCAGCGAGCTATGGAGAGGGCTATGCTCGGGGTTTCTCTGCGTGATAAACTTAGAAATGAGGATATCCGCAGTAGAACCAGAGTGACCGACATAGCCCAACGGATTAGTAAGCTGAAGTGGCAGTGGGCCGCCCATATAGCTCGAAGAACCAACAACCGACGGGGAAGAAAGGTTCTTGATTGGCAGCCTTGTACCGGTAGGCGAAGTGTAGGGCGGCCCCCCACGAGATGGAGTGACGACCTGGTAAGACATGCAGGAAGTCGATGGATGCAGGTGGCTTAGGACCGTGCTTTGTGGCATTCCTTGGGGGAGGCCTATGTTCAGCAGTGGACTTATGAAAGGCTGAAATGATGATACATTGTCAGCGATCACCGATGGTGAGAGTTCAGGTACACTGAACCTAAACGTTAAGTTGGAGAGGTCTCGTCTAATGAAATCAACGCTCCGTCCCCTTCGTGCTCTAATCCAAAGTCCCGAAACCTTTCAGCTCGAGCTACGAAACCGTTTTCAGTACCTAGAAGATTGCAATGCAGTGGACGATATGAATGACAAACTTGTAGAAACTGTCCATGCGGTCGGAGCTATGTTTTGCAAGACCCGCCGCAGAAGAACACAAAAACCCTCCGATCACACTCTTACTCTCATGGCTGTTAGACGGGATATTAGGCTGTAGTCTTCAGTAGATTTTGACAGCATACAGGCAACTGAACAGACAGATCTCCAAATGCATGCGACGGGACTTACGCAACTTTAATACTGCTCGTATTGAAGAAGCGATCGAGCGGAACCGGGGCTCCAAAGTCTTTGCTAGAGATCTGTCTGACAGAAAGAGCCAACTGTCGAAGCTGAAGACCGAGTGTGGCAGTATTGTTTCCGGGACACCTGAGATTTTAAGCGAGATTGAGAGGTTCTATGGGCAGCTGTACACATCTTTGAAACGACAACGACAACGATCCAAGAGCGAGTCTTATCCGAAACTCTTCCGATGATATCCCGGACGTCAGTCTGAGCGAGATTAGAATTGCTCTCCAGTACATTAAAAACGGCAAGGCCCCAGGCAAGGATGGAATTACAGCGGATCTTCTGAAAGCGGGTGGAAAACTAGTACTTGAATTCCTTCAGAAGCTCTTTAATTCCGTCCTCCATGGTGGCATTACACCGGATGCGTGGAGCAGAAGTGCGGTGATGTTGTTCTTCAAGAAAGGTGACTACGCTCTCTTGAAGAACTACAGACCGATTTCCCTTCTGAGCCGCGTCTACGTGCTGTTTTCGAGAGTCATTACAAATAGTCTCGCACGCAGACTTGATGACTTCCAGCTTCCCGAACAAGCCGCTTTCCGAAAAGGCTTTAGCACCATAGACCATACACATACCCTTCGGCAAATTCTACAGAAGTCCGAGGAGTACAATCCCACTCACACACAAGCTACTATGTCTAGCGTATGTGGACTATGAGATAGCCTTTAATTCCGTCGAAATTTGGGCGGTGCTGCAGTCCCTTCAGCGGTGCCAAGTTGACTGTCGGTATATCGAAGTGCTGAAGTGCTTGTACAGTAGTGCTACGATGGCTATTCAAGTACAGAACCAGAGTACGAAACCTATCCAATTGCAGAGAGGTGTAAGACAAGGTGACGTTATATCCCCGAAACACTTCACCGCTGAATTGGAAGACGTTTTCAAGCCTCTGGACTGGAAAGGATACTGTATTTACATCAATGGCGAGTACATAGCTTACTTTCGATTTACGGATGATATAGTCCTTATGGCAGAATCGCTGGAGGACCTAAGCACTATGTTCAATGACCTCAATAATGTTTCCCAACGGATTGGTCTTAAGATGAACATGGACAAAACAAAGATCATGTTTACCGACATAGCCCAACGTATTAGTAAGCTGAAGCGGCAATTGGCCGGCCATATAGCTGGAAGAACCAACAACCGATGGGGAAAAAAGGTTCTCGAAGGGAAGGAAAGAAGGTACCGGCGGACGAAGTGTAGGGCCTCCCTCCACTAAATGGAGTGACGTCGATGGATGCAGGTGGCTCAGTACCGTGCTTTGTGGCATTCTTTGAGGGAGGCCGATGTTCATCAGTGGACTTGTGAAGGGCTGTAATGATGATGGTGATGAACAGGAATATCTCTAATTCTAATTAAAATTATGGATATTTATTAGTAAAGTATGAGTCCAATATAACGATTCTACAAATGTTATTTAATTGCTTTATTATTAAGTGGCGAAGCTTGCGAAGTCACTTATTGATTTCACGATGTCTGTATGTCTGTCCGTCTGTCCTTCTGTCCGTCTGTCCCACGATTATCTCGAGAACGGTTTTGAATTTTCAAATTCTCTTTTCAGTAATCGATTACTGATCGCCCAGGCATCTGAACCTCCTATTTTGAAACTGATTGTTCAACGGCAACCGTTAGAAACCGCTACAAAGCTGATTGCTTCGCCACTTTGCTATGCTGTTAGCTTGCTAGGTTTATTAATATAAAATTGTACGGTTATATATAGCCTATTATGTTTTTATTATTTATTGTAAAAATAAAACAATTAATAGCTTTTATATGTTATTTTATTACCAGAATAAGATATTTAAAACAAAAAAATAATAGAAACATTACATCTCATCATACATTTTTTTTACACACCACTTGATTTTATAAAAGGCACTAACATCGACAACTCCGTTTGGTATCTCAAGTGGCCTTCATATTTCTCAGTGGTTTAAAAAGATTTTTCTGTATTAGGGTCAAAAATTTTATGTTTATAGTAAGTTGAGCATATCAGCTACAAGTTAAAATAGCAACATAGTTCTAAGATAAATATAACTTGAGTAAGAGTCACCCAAATATGGTACTTAAAATGGGCTCAAAAGAGAGTGCTTATTTAAAACTTTTTTCCTTGGTTTGAGGTACATACTATCAAAAGAGTGTTATATTTACTAAGATTTACATAGAACAAGGTATCAAATTCAAACAGAAAACAAGTTTGCTTCTTAGAAATATTTTAAGAACAATGTTGATTTGAAATTGGGAAAAAACAACCACTTTAGTCACAATGAGGTTAGAAGAATATGGATACGACTTTTTATTTTTTGTTGTATGAAATATTTTGAAATAACTTTTTAGAGTTTTAGCATAGTGTTTCTGTATAGTTTTACTGTGGTGTGTGGTGTGGCTCAAAGCAGCTAAATACACATAGGGGGACATTGTACGCTTTGCAGTAAGCGGTTGTTCGTTTTTTGCACACGGCGCACAAACGTCGCAACCGCTCATGCTGTTTGCCGGCAACAAACTCCCATTGTGCTGGAAAATGCCCCCCTAATACCGAAGGTGCCACAATTATTTTTGCAGTCATGTGTTGTGTTATCAATTGACCTATCTGAATAAATGTTGTGATTTCAGTAATGTGTAAGCGTTTAGAACACTGACATTCAATAGGCGTCTGAAAATTTTTTATACCACTTTCGTTCAAGCGGGAACATAGCGATAATTTGATCTTTTCGGTCAACCCCCCCCCCCCATACAAGAGCTACGCGGTTCTTGTCTCTCCATACCACGATATCCACATCCTGAGAGGTGCAGCTACACAATTGACCAATAGACATGTCACTTTTTTTAAGTTATTAATTTCTGTGGGAACAAACTGGCGATTTGTTCGAAGCGTTCCCACGCAGTCAAAGCCACGAACTTTCAATTCTCGTGCAAGAGCTGGGGAATTGTAAAAATTATCCATCCAGGTAGTATGGGCTTTATATTCAAGACCATTTAGAAACTTGATCATAAAGGAGGGGTTAATTCCAGAAATTGGACCCTGTTGTGAATTCGAGGAATCGTTTTGCCCTGCGTGTACTTCGAAACGCAACAAACATGAAAAAAATCAGTCAAATTGAGAACCTCCTACTTATTTGTGAAGTCGCTTGAAAAATTCTAACACTTAGGGAATATTCTTACTTACTTACATTACTTACTTAGTCCTAAATAACTTCCATTAAACAGTCTCTGTGATGAGACCGATTCATTATATATCATCTTTATTAATATAAACTTTAATTTCACTTTACCTTTATTAAAACTATAGGCATTTCGATAAAATAAACTCTATAATAAATAGAAAATGTTATACTATTATTACAAATATAAATTCTTTTTCGATTATTTTTCTATTAGTTCATATACCAATTTATTGTAATAGAGAAAGCATACCTTATTGCTTTCTCTACAAGTAAAGTTACAGCTTATAGACGTCCCACACCTGGGCACAGGCCTCCTCTCATTTCTAAGAGGGTTTTAGGGAAAAGTCTACCGCGCTGCCCCAATGCATGTTGGTGGACTTTACACATTTTTAAAGTTCTCAGACATGCAGGTTTCCTCATGATGTTTTCCTTCACCGCCGAGCATGTGATAAATCAACACTTGCAATTAGCATTTCATTGGTGCCAGCGGGGATCGCATTCAAGGTGCTCTAGTACTGTGATATTTAGAGCTAGCTTAGCCGTTGAGCTACCATTTTCATAGAAAAGGGAGCAAACTAGCAGGCGGCTCTCCTGGTGGTAGGTAAGTGTCGATCGCCGCACATGAACAGGGGAACTAGCAGGAGCTTTACCGGCCTTTTAAAAAGGAGTAAGCTCGTATTGAGAATTCAATAAAGAATAAATAAATAGATTTTTTTTAACAGCAACTAAAAGTAGGAGAAGTCAACGGAATATTAATGTTACTTTGTGGTGGAGCTATAATACAAGTATTTATTCCAACTTACCTGTGCACTATTCTTGGCATAAAGGTAAAAATAACTTTATTTGAAATTTATGTTCATTTCTTATTTAATGTTTTTTCTTGAGAATAAAAAAAAATTAGGAAGATCAAACGAATAATTTTCTTTTAAAGGTAAGATCAATTGGCGATGCTTGTCTGGATATTCCTTTTTGGAACATTGGCCGAGTTATACGACCCTACATGGTTTTAATAATGCAAAAATCATTACGACCACTTCAACTCAGTGCCCCTGGTTTCGAAGAAGTATCTGTTCAGACATTTTCCAAAGTAAGTCTTATTTTTAAGTTGGCGATGTATACTGAAGAAAACCTTATAAAAAGTTTTTTTTACAGACAATGGCATCAGCTTATTCTTTTTTCAACATGTTGCGACAGACAGACCTTTAATAAAAAAATATAACTTTAATTTCTTAGTAATAATCTAAGATGTTAAACCTGGCCATGGCATATATGAACACCAACATAAAATTAACGTCAATTTACGTTACAATTTACTTCTTTAGTACATGGTAGTAGTAGTAGTAGTAGTATTAGTAGTAATAAGTAGTTTTTATTCAATTAGTACGGTATTATAAAGTAATTAATACTTCTTTATCTAGTCATGCACAAGTTATATTTAACTACTAAAGAATACCGAACATGAATCCAACGTATTTTGTCAGAATTAATATTCATCGCTAAATTAAGTTCTAAACAAAATAAAGTAATTAAAAGAATGAACCATACTTTTATTGAGATATACTACCTTCATACCTAAAATACCTTACACTATGTTTATATAATTAAATAACATAAATATGCATTACAAATATCTTTATTTGTGAAGATCACACGAGTGGTATTTTCATTAATTTAGATTTTTAGTTGAAAAATATTACACCGTTGTGTAAAAATAATACTGGAACATGGGCAATAATACACTAAAATTTACATAGAGCAATGTATAAGTGTAAACAAGAATCATCATCATCATCATCATAATTACAGCCCATCACAACTCCACTGTTGAACATAGGCTTTCCACAGGGAATGCTACAAAGCACGTTCCTGCCCCACCTGTATCTTATCTCATCAAAAAACGAGAATATAGAAGAATATTTAACAAGAATATCTCTATAATACGTTAGGTCCCTGTATTTAAATATTATATAATTGGTCACGTGCAGGCCCGTGTAGTTGCGAGTAAGAATACCCACTACACCATATCTTCCCGTGGGTGTCGTAAGAGACGACAGAGGAAAACTGAGGCAGAAGATGGGCAGCCTTACTGCAGTGCCAGCCGCCAGCTCCTCTCACTATTCTTCAGGAATTTCATTTTTATTGGACAGGATGATATTCAATTTTGAATAATTCTTGCTCATTTAGCACGTCCGTTCATGATAAAAAGCATGTGGCACACTGTATATTCCGCATATGGTTTGTACCATATGCGGAATATACAGGTCTTCATGCCTCTGTTCATGATGGAAATGATGTGGCAACCTGTATATTCCGTATATAGTTCGTGTGTTTTGCTCACTTCATGCGTCCGTTCATGACGGAAATTATGTGGCACTCTGTATATTCCGTATATGGTTTGTATGTTTTGCTCACTTCATACGTCCGTTCATGACAGCAATGATATGGTACTCTATATATTCCGTAAATGGTTTAATTGTTTTGCTCACTTAATGCGTTGACCTAGAGACCGTACGAGATAGCGATCGTATGAAGTCATAGAAGATTTCGGAGTGCAACTGTTATACTTGATGAGTTATCGAGAGTAAGATTAATTGCGAAGAAATCTTTGTTATTCTTTTATAGAAGAGTGGGCAAACAAACATGCGGCTCACCTGATGGTAAGTTTCGACTGCCGTCCGTGAACTTCAGCAACACTAAGGGAATTGCAGGTACGGTACCGGCCTTTTAATAAAAGAGTATGCTCTTTTCTTGAAGGTCCCGAAGTCGTATCGGTTCGGAAAAATCGCTAGTGGTAGTCGATTCCACAAGGAAGTTGTGCGAAGAAAAAAAAGTCTTCTCGTAAGTCGCACAGTGGTAGACCGCCAATCATCCAGATGGTATGGATGGTATCGTGACTTTTGTCGCAATGTGCGATGATGAGTTGAGCGGCTGCAATAAGTCTGAACAATTCCTCATAATACTCTCGGTGGTAGATACTAAAAAATAGGCAAAGAGATACAACTCTTCGCAGTGCCAGTGAGGCAAAGCGATCAGAAAGAGCTCGGTCATCGACAATTCGAACCACAGCGCTGGATACGATTAAATGCAAGGAGCTGGCACTGGGGAGCCCCGGCCCCGAGATGGGAACAGTATTCCATGTGAGGGCGAAATTGCGCCTAGTAAAGTTGCAGGCCACGGCCTGCATGAAATGCTATGACAGTGGTAGAGCCACGCGGCAGCTTTTGCTGTCGCACGGATAGGCCGGCTCGAACTGGGGTAGTACCACGACCTCACAGAAAACCAGCGTGAAGTAGAGGTTTACCTCTGCGTTTCGCTTGGTGAGTGCAGGTGGCCGGAGGCCCTTTTTACTGGAAATGAGGCATTCCACCTTAGTGCTCACAGGTGACAACGCATCTACATTTTGATTTGTAACAGAGGATAGATGTAGATGTCTATGGGCCGCAGCAACCACTTACCATCAGGTGGACTGTGTGCTCGCTTGACACCCTCATCCTATAAAAAAAAAACACTCTGCTGAGTACGCCAAGCTTTTTGTAGAGAGGAAGAGAGGCCATATTGGCCTTCTCTTCCCTGCAGTCATTCGATATATCGACGCCGAAGATTCCGTTACTGACTGAGGCAACAAGGGGAGAGCCCTGAAACTGAAGAAATACGACAAAGGGGTTCTTATTAGCGGTAAACACGTAAACTTGGGTCTTCTGGGGATTGAACTGGACTAAATTTAGTCGCTTCAATCCGAGACTTATTTCAACGAAGTCTCAACTTTAGACACAAGTTACTCCAGGTACTTGGCAAAGTTCTCCTGAGAAATATTGGGACCGCCGGTGTATAAAGCATCACCAGTGCTGTCGTCCGCATAGCAATGAATGTTACCAGCTTGCAACATATCATTGACGTGCAGAAGTAACGGCGTTGGTGATAGCTTACAGCCTTGTGGAACACCAGCGTTAATATGCTTGTAATCGGAGCATGCACCGTCTAATACGACCTTGATGCTCCGATCTACAAGAAAGCTGGTGATCCAATTGCACAATTTCTCGGGAAGCCCGTAGGAAGGGCTTCTAAAAAAGCAGTTTCGCAATGTCCAAACTAATGAACAATGCCTCCCCCTTGGACTCTACTTCCTCCGCTCATACATGAGTCAGGTAGACCAGAATATCACCAGCTGAAGCCTCAAGATACGTCATGAGCTGGCAGGTTATAGTGGATTCCATTATTTTAAAGAACAAGACGATGATGGCGATAGGCTTGTAGTAAGACGGGTTTGAACGGTTGCATTTTTTAGGGATCAGGTGGACCAAAGCTATCTTATATGAATTCCGAAACCGGTTCCAACTCCAGAGCACGGAGCAGGAGTCTTCAGCACTACAGAAGTAACTTTATCAGGCCCACTCGACTGGTAAAGGTCCAATGAGAGGAGTGCTTTGCGGTAGTGCGCAGTGTAAACAGCATAGAGCACTCACACTGCGGGATGGTCGGCGTCGTGTTTCACCCGTCACCGAGAGTCGAGTTGGATGTAAAGAGAGAGCTTACCAGATTGACTTTCTCCTTTGCCAGTGAGTCGTCCTTCCTGTGCAGAGATGGCAGAGATAGCCTTGGACAGCCTTGCCGAGAGACCAGAATGCATATGTTCTTGAAGGAAGTCTAACAAGTTTCTCGCCAATTCTGCCGATGTGCTCTGACTTTGCCTTGGTAATGACACTTTTGAAGGACCTGGAATCAGAATTATAATTCTTTTTAAGAGCGCTTGTATTTGTATCCCGAGACGTTGATGCGTCAGCCCAGACCCAGTAGCATTTTTGCATAAGCAGCAAAGGTAACTTCTGTATAATTGGATCACACCAGATGTGATGCAATTTTACAGGAGTGACCAAGCCATGGCCGAGTTCTGCCACTAATAGGCACCACAGATGATGGAATAAAAAGTTCCATTCCGTGAAGTACCACATCAACGATAGAATCAGCAGCAACGTTGGAATTATCCGGCGAAAAGCAAACCCAACCCTCAAAGGTAGGATGCAAAAAAGACCGCATTTGTCCCAATCGGCCAACCTATAATGCTTAACACGGCGGCAATCCGCAGAACACAACCGCGAGGTAGCGTGAGTGACACTGTACTCCGAATCAGACAATGGTCCGAAGATCTAAGAGGGGTAACGACGGACACCTATATCCGTCCGGATGAAGGTCGGCAGAAGGTGCAACAAGGAAGGTGCTCCATATCTGGGATCCGCGTAGGCGAAGTAACCAGTTGTGTGAGACCATATGCCAAGGCAAAGTCATAAACAGATCTATGATCGGTTAAACGGGAAATAAGCCATCCAGCGTGGTGGGCGTTAAAACCACCGAGTATCACGATCTCGCCAGATGGGACCTGTTGTATCACGGAATCTGCAGCATTTGGACGTGGTTGATGAGTCGGTCTGTGTAGGCGTTTGTTGTATGGAACCTATAGAGGCACCTGTAGACGCGGGGGATGTTTGTCGGGGTTTACGCGCAGCCATAGTATAGACATGGACCTTGAAGACTGCCGAGGCGTTGAAAACAGTGGATGCTCAGCGAAGGATCTCCGTCACCAAAGTTGCTTTATTTAACTCCGCTACCATATTAAGTGGGGTGGGGGGAACCGCACCTCCGTTCACTTGTACTTACCTGGTAAAACGCAGAAGTAAACTTCTACTTTACGCTGGTACTCTATTAGGTCTTGTACCACCCTGGTTCGAGTCAGGCCCTCCGTGCGACAGCAAAAGTTGTCGCGTGGCTCCGCCACTGTTAAAAACACTTTTACCCTTGGCTCTTTGCACTTTTATTTAAATAAAATCAATACAATCAGTAAATCTACAATTAAAACAAATGTTAAGAAAAAACTAGACGATCTTAAAATTCTCACTTCACTTTTACGATTATGCAGCGCCCGCTCCAAACGGACTCCAAATGACCGATCAACGACCATTAGCTAATAAACTATTCGCCACGCACCCGAGCTTGAGTCGTAAGAGCCCTCCCTTTTCATCTTTACTTCCCCGTACAGCCCATACCGGGAGCTCACTTTGCGGAAGTATTTAAACCATCGATTTGAGTTGATAAAAACTTTAAAAATCATTACAATATACGGTAGCAAGATAGGCGGAGTAAAAGTTGGAAAAAAAGTGGAATATACACAGCGCCGATATGCGCCGAGAAGTAGCGACCTAAAAATATTGTGT